CATTTTTATTTTTATACAGTATATACTTACATAAATATGTACGTATATATACATTTAATTTAATTTAATTTAAGGTTAGACCAGGTAATAGCCGGGATCTCTGTTAAATTTATGTCAAATTTAAAATTTAATTAAAATTTAATAAAATTTAACAGAGATCCCAGAAAGGATCCCTCATTCAGGATCCTTTGTAATGCTAAAATGTTTATTTTTTTAACAGATGCCCCACTTACGCGGGGCATCTGTTAAAAAAAAATAAACATTTTAGCATGACAGCGTGACGGAGAATCGCGCAATAGTATAGGGGAGACTAGCTCTCAATCCCGGGCGATACCCTGGGAGCGCAGATTCAATTTTTTCTAGCTTTTAAGTTCTGAATTTTTAGTTTTCTAGCTCTCAGGCCCAGGCGATGCTGTGGGAGCTAGTCTTTCTATACATCATTTGCACAATTGAACATACTATCTTGGTGTTCTTATAATAAACCCAGGTCGTAATCTATGACAGATCATTGCTGCTAATTCAGCATTAAAATTATAACTGTCAAAGGCCTTCTGCCTATTAATATTTCTATCATAATAGTCCCAAAACTGTTAATATCAGCAGCTTGAGTGAAATGTTTACCTTTCAAGACCTCAGGTACTAAATACATATAGCAAAAGACATACATGTGACTATTTTGTTTTTCATCAATTGAACCTAGTTCAATATAAGCCTCATATTTTTTTTTTAATAAAATATTACCAGAATGTAAATTTCAATGTATAAAGTTTTTAGATTGAATGTTTAGTAGATCATTAACGATATCGCATAACTAAAATCTCTGGTGTTTTTATCCATCGACATACCTTTGTATTTACCAAATTCATGATGTCTTTAATTAAAAAAATTATATACAATTAACTTATAAACAATATAAATTTGCATATTAAAAAAAATAAATACCTCATTTTAAGTTTTTTTTTTATTTTTATGCGAATTTTTTATTATACTTCATATGACATTTTATACATTATGGAAAATCCACCTTTACCTACTTCAATAATTCTAAAATTATCTAACAAAAATAGTTATTGCTATCATTGGCAACCATAATGTTGTTCCAATTTTCAAGATTATTAATAATCTCAACATCTGTAGGTCTTTTTTTCATATCTGAGTTAATACATTGTTTGACTAATTTAACTTAATATTTTGGTGTCCTTATGATAAATTCAGGTCGTAATCCATGACAAATCATCCCCACTAATTCAGCATCAAAATTGCAACCATCGAAAAGTTTTTGGCCAGTTAATATTTCTATCATAATAATTCCCAAAAACTGTTAATATCAGTAACTTGAATGAAATGTTTACCTTTCAAGACCTCAGGTGCTAAATACGTATAGCAAAAGATATACATGTGACCATCTTTTTTTTCATCAATCGATATTGATAAATCTAGTTCAATATAAGCTTTATATCGTTCTTTTAATAAAATATTACCAGAATGTAAATTTCAATGTATAAAGTTTTTAGATTGAATGTTTGGTAGATCATTAACAATATTGCATAACTAAAATCTCTGGTGTTTTTATCTATCGACATACCTTGTATTTACCAAATTCGTGATGTCTTTAATTAAAAAAATTATATACAATTAACTTATAAACAATATAAATTTTGCGTATTAAAAAAAATAAATACCTCGTTTTAAGTTTTTTTTTTATTTTTATACGAATTTTTTATTATCTTGATTGCAACTTCTTCATATACTTCATATAATGTTTTATACATTACAGAAAATCCACCTTTACCTACTTCAATAATTCTAAAATTATCTAACAAAAATAGTTACTACTATCATTGGCAACCATAATGTTGTTCCAATTTTCAAGATTATTAATAATCTCAATATCTGTAGGTTTTTTTTTCATATAAGAATCACTTGGTTTGTCGAGATGAAACGATCGCTTTTCATTTTGAAAGATCGAAGAAAAAAAAAATTATTAAATCAATTAATATGATTCTAACCATGATGAATTGACAATATCATGATTTTCAAAACTTTTTTGGGTGGCGATTTTACCATGGTCAAACTTATTCGTCAAATTCTATCAAGATCAAAAGGGTTGAAGTTGGTCCTAGTAGTTTCTAAAAGATTATATTATTGGGAAAAGGTTATGTTGGAAATGTATAGAATTTATATATTACTCTGAAAATTGTGCCAACCATGTGGCGCATACGATCCAAAGTATTCTTATTTATAATACGATCTGCTCTTTGCGTTGGAGAATTACGGGATTTAATCATGGAGGAAATCACTCCTTTATCAAGTCCTCTACTTCTCATTCTTTTGTCTTGGTGATGTCTTTCACTGACTCCTTCGGTTCCTGAGCCTGTATTGTTTTTAAAACCTCTGCTTAATACTGGAGCTATATTATCCTCTCTGTACAAAATATCTCCATTAAAAATTTTTAAAAACCTGGAGATAAAGTTTTTTATTTCATTTGCCAACGAAAATATTTAAATATATATATGCATATGTGGTCTTATAACATTCAAAATAAAAAAAAATCCTTTGGAAATTATCTGATTTTGTTTGGCAAATCGACTCCGTATTGAATATTACAGGATGCTTATTAGATATTATACGTTTTTTATCGATAAGCAAATAATTAAGCATTCTCTATTTTAATTTTTTTGGATGAAAATTTTATTGGAATCGAATAAAAATTTTATCGGAATTTTATATTAGTTACCTGTTTTAAGTTTCATATTGAATCTATTATGCCAAAAAAATCAATAACTTACCAAATCGGGCTGAAAAAATAGTTCCAATTAATTTTTTGTTCGGTGTCTTAGAGTTTATAAAAACAGCTGTAAGGGCCAAACAATTGGGTTCTGGGTTGGTTCCAGGTTGGTTCCAGGTGTAGGATAGTCACCTAATCTTAAATTTCATAATGAATCTAATATGCCAAACTTAATAACTTAATTGAATCGGCTAAAAATACTTTTAATAACTTAACAGTAAAAAAAAACTTAATTTTAAAGTGCGATACGTCATATTCTATTAACAATTAAATAACTTTATTTACTTTATTTAAAAGTATATGACGTATCGCACTTTAAAATTTAACTTTATTATTTATTTATCGTTATTTTGAAGTATATGACATATCGCACTTTAAATTTAATTAAATATAATGTGCGATATGTCATATACTTCAAAATAACGATAAACAAATAAATTTAATATAACATGTACATGGTAACCTAAAAAGCAGATTACCATATAGCATTTTTAGGTTACATTATTTATATGGGAACCCGCGAAGTAGGTTCCCATTTTGCATGACTGACAATTGCGCTTTAGTATTAAAGTGACAACTACGTTGTTGTTGATTAGACTAGCTCTCAGACCCGGGCATTGCTCTGGGGGCTCGGTTTTAACTTTTTAGTTTTTAAGTATTTGTTAATTTTGGTTATTTATTTATTAGTATTTAAATTAAATAAATATTTTTTAATAAATATAATTTAATTTTTATGTTTTTTAAATCCTATTTTTTAGTTTTCTAGCTCTCAGACCTGGGTGTTGCTCCGGGAATTGGTTTTAATTTTTTTTTAGTTTTTAAAATATTTGTTAACTTTGGTTATTAATTTATTATTATTTAAATTTTATATTTATTTAGTTTTAAGTTTTGCTAATATAGTTTTTTAATTTTTTAGCTCTTAAACCCGAGTGTTGCTTCGGGGACTCAGTTTTAATTTTTTCTTATTTGAAGTTTTTTAAATTTGTTTTTAATTTATTAATATTTAATTTTTAAATTATTAAGTTTTTAAATATTAGTTTATTAGTTTTTTAGCTCTCAGACCCAAATATTGTTCTGAAAGCTCAGTTTTAATTTTTTTTTATTTGAAGTTTTTTTAAATTTGTTTTTAATTTATCAGTATTTAAATTAAATAAATTAAATTATATAATTTTTTAAAAATATAATTTAGTATTTATGTTTTTAAATATTATTTTTTTAATTTA